GTAAAAGATACCGTGGAGAAAAACTCCAAGCAAAGCTCCAAATATACCGGCTCTTGTATGCGGAAGACCCGGCTCCACCCATCACATATCATTGACTCGCCGTTATGTTGAAACTCCTTTAAAAGGTACGGAGCTAATTCTTCTTTATATCGCACATTTTGCAACCATTCCCAATCAATTCTGTTCGGGACATAGACCTCCTTCTTTTTGATATCGGAAAGCTTCTTCTTCCACTTCCGCATTGTTGAAGCGGATTCGATTTGCGGGAAATTTAACCATGGAAATTCCCCTTGGCTACCACTTGAAGATTGTCCTCTTCTAAACATGATTCCTTTTGAGTTTAAATCTTGAGAATTTGGAAGAAAGGTTGAAGAACACTTGAATGTTTGAGAGAGAGTTGTAGAGACAGGAACCCGGCGAGTGTGGTGTGGAAACTGAACTTTTAGGGTTAAAACCCTATTAGATGTAAAAGTAATTTCGAAAATGTTTATTTTTTTCTGTAAATAAGCTCGACTCGTCGAGTCAGGGTCAGACTCGGCGAGTCCAATCGCGCATTCAAACTTTTTTTCTGAAATCAGTATATACTCGTCGAGTCAGGGTCAGACTCGGCGAGTCTCTTGTAAAACATTTCTAATTTTTAAAATTTTGTTATGTATTCAAAATATTTTCACCCCACTCTTAAGCTAGGCGCTCCCTTAAGCAGACAAGTCCGATGATTTGGAAGATTAAAATTGAAACACAAAACAAAAATAAAAAATAAAGAGTAAAAGAAAGCAAACTCTAACGACGGGTTGCCTCCCGCCAAGCGTTTCTTTTTGAGGAGTCATTAGCTAGACTCCTTCCCATTTACGTTTTGTCATCTTCAAGCATCGGGAATGTACGCCTCACTTTTTGTGGTTTATACTTAGTCTTGTAGGCGTGAATCTTTTTCTTGTAAGCCCTTTTTAATTCGTCTCTTCTCTTTTTCGCTGTATCATCCTCAGCTGTTTGGGCCTCTCTTTTCCTCTTCTTCTTTTTCAACCCATGCTTTTTCACCAACTTTTGAACCTCTTTTTCTTTAAATTTGATAACTTCATACTTCATAGCGGTCCGTGCTCTAGGTTTAGTAGTGAATTGGTGATCAGCTTCTGCTCTGCTTCCATTTATGTCCTCATCCTCTTTTGTGCTCGACTCTTCTCCAAATGGCATCGTATCAAGGCATGCCACATCGGCGTGTTGGGCCTCCATTCCTTTTACTTCTTCTTGCTTGACCTCTGGATTAGCTTTAAACATCACCGACTCATCACCCACTCTTAATGTCAAGGTAGACTCACATATGTCAATTAGGGCACCTGCGGTGTTTAAGAATGTTCTTCCCAAAACAATTGGTATTTCGGGGTCTTCTTTCATCTCCACCACCACGAAGTCTACTGGGAAAATAAACTTGTCCACCTTGATAAGGAGATTTTCACATATGCCTTGTGGGTGAATTATTGTTTTATTTGCCAAATGGATTCTCATATTTACCGGCTTTGGTGCTGGTAAATTCAGCTTCTTAAAGAATGAATAGGGCATCAAATTAATGCTTGCCCCTGAATCAGCCAATGCTTGTGTAGAAACTTCATTACCAAATTGGCACGGAATTACTATGTTACCCGGATCACCCTTCTTCTCAGGCAGCTCACTCATCAATATCTCCGCGACTTCAGCAAGATCTTTCCTAGCAGCAAACAGCCTTTAAGCAAGTTAAAATATTTAGGAGTTTGGAGCATTGTGTCCACAAATGGCATATTGACTTGTAAAGCTTTAACATGCTCCATGAAGGTTCTATAGGCTTGAACTTTTTCTGAAGGCATGGCTCTGGATGGGTATGGCAAAGGAGGATTGTATGGCTTCAGAAAACTGGCATTTTCTTCATTCCCGACTGGACTCGTCGAGTCCATTTTGGTGACTCGGCGAGTCTGATCGAGTTTTTCTTGTTCTGATTTTTCTTCCTTTTCTGCCTTCTCCTTGGAAACTCTTAGTGTTTCTGCCAATTCTTCTTCACCGCTGGAGGTTATTACGCTCACGTTCTCATTTCTTGGATTGGGTTGGGTGTCGCTCGGAAGTTGGCCCGGTCTTCTTTCGTTTACTTGATGTGCAAGTTGGCCCAGCTGTTTCTCAATGTTGAGAATAGAAGCTTGCTGATTCCTCAACATGTTTCTGGTTTCTTGCATTGCCACATCATGATCATTATGTCTTTTCTCGGACGCGGTTATGAATTTTGTAAGTATTTCTTCTAAATTCGTCTTCTTGTCCGTCACCGGTTCTTCCTTTTGATAATATCCCCTCTCCCTCTGTTTATATTTCTCTTCCTTAGCCTTTCTGTACTCTTCGTATGGGAGCCATTCCTTCTTCGGTTTCCTCCAGTCTTCATCGTATCTATCGCCGCTGGAGTAAAATACTTGAGCCTTTTTATTTCCATTCTCGTCTCGATCACATTCCTTGGTAAGATGGGGACCGCCACAATTTTCACATCCAACTCTAATAGCATGGATCGTTTGATCCATTTTTGTCATTCTTCGGTCTAGGCTATCGAGTTTAGCTATCACCGCCGCCATACCATCGTTTACCGAATTTACTACTCCTCGACTCACTTCATTCCTCGGGTTGTGGTATTCTCTAGAGTGCCTGGAGAATTCTTCAATTAACTCCTTTATTTCCGGAGGTGGCTTTCGGGTGAGTGGGCCTTGTGAATCGAGTAGTTGCCTCGTGGTGACATTCACTCCATCATAAAAGATAGAGACCTCTTGTTGGCTATTGAGATCGTGGTGGGGGCAATTTCGAAGTAGGCTCTTGTATCTTTCCCAAGCTTCATAAAGGGATTCGCCGGGTTGTTGCTCGAAGTTGGCAATGGCTTTCTTTAGCTTGGCTATCTTGGAAGGTGGGCAGAAGTGATCTATGAATTCTTCTTTCATTTTGGCCCATGTGGTAACGATCCGGGAGGGAGTGACTTCAACCAATCCTTTGCAGCTCCTTTAAATGTGACAGGAAGCATGCGTAGTAGCTGGATCTCGCGGGGCACATTAGGTACATTGAAGTAATCCGCCACATCATTTACTTCATCTAAGTGTTTATAGGCGTCTTCATGATCTCTCCCGTGAAATGGTATCTCCTTGAGTTGAGCGAGAATATGGCCCTTTAGTTCAAACGTAGCGGTAGCGGGGATTGCGGGTTGCACAAGTCCCGGGCCGGTGTCATCACGCATCCTTTTCTTCCACTCCCCCATGGGGATTTCGTCAATATTAGCCATAGCGGTGGCTAAGTCTTCTTCAAACTCGGATGTGTGCTCGCTTTCTTCTTCGGTCTCGTAATCGGTGTCTTTTGGGATTAGATCTTCGGTTGTCAACGACGCACTGGATGCTCCTGCTTTGCTGCTCCTTTTCTTGCTAAAAACGGATTTGAGGTTTTTGAGTGGTGAGTTCTTTGAAGAAGCGGTTTCTCCAACGGTTTTGCCCTTGTTTCTTCTTAATGTGGTTTCCGGATCTTCAAGAGGGGGAACTAGAGGCGTAGCAGATCCTCGGGTCATGAACCAACTGCAGACTAAAACAAAACAAAACGCGTAAAAAAGAACAAAAATTAAATCTGATTCAGCGTCAGCTCGCCGAGTCGGGGCGAATGCACTCGGCGAGTTCAAGTTAAAATCAGCGATTTTTTTTTTTTTTTTTTTTAACTAAAACTTAAACAAAAAATGAACAGAAATTAACTTTGTGTAAGATGAATCTTACACAAAGGATCGATTGAATTAGAATTTTAATGCTAATTTTAGAACCGTTCCCCGGCAACGGCGCCAAAAACTTGATGTGTGTAAAACTCACTTAGTTTTAATCCTACTTTAATTATCAAATAACACACAAAAGGCAGTGAACCTATCAATTGTGGTATAGCTAAATAAGCAGGTATCGAACACAGGGAACGCAAATTAAATTAAAAACTAATTCTATCTAAGTTGATTAAGCAAATAAGGGTTTTTTCTCTAGTTTTACAAGACTAGAAACTTACTAACTAAAACTAATGCAAGACTAGAAAAGAACAAATTAACTAGATTCAATAATGGGAAAGAAACTTCTGTTTAGTTCAACTCGGTTAACTTTATGGTTGATTTTAAGGTAATAGTGCAATGGATTAATTCTTTCGTTGGTTACCGATTCAAGTGATTAAGTTTGTGTTCACTACCCTAATCCTTAGCAAATAAACTAATTCAAACAGTGGCCAATTGCTTAATTTAATTATATTTACTAGATTAATTATTGGGTTAAGTTAGACTTGCAATAGCTAATTAATTCGTTATTCTTAATTAACCTCTTGTTCGATGGTCATCTTACAAGCTTGCACATGAGTTTACTCAATTTCCTTATTAATCCTAGTTTCATATTCATTAATCCTAGACATATGATATAGTGGTCGCATATCATACGAGGTTGATAATCAATAGATGTTCATGCTAATCAATTATCTTCCTATTAACAGAAAATAAATTATCATTCATACACAAGGTTCTTTAGCAAGCTAAAATAACAATTAATCACCAACTTGGAATTAATCCTACCAATCAATCAAACCATATTGTCAACTTTGTATCCCAAACAGAAGTCTAAAGAAATTAGTTCATAACTAAGGTAAATAACAGCAAACAAATAAGTTCAAGTTGCTTAATCATGTTGACAAAACAAAAGAATTAAGTAGAATGGTGAAATTACGCCTTAATTACTCCCGGAATTGGATTCTAGCTTCTTTGGTCGACTTCTAGGGTTCTTCTGGCTTCTTATTCGCAGCTAAGCACTTCTGAAACTTCCCAGAATTCTCTCTTCTCGCATTGTAGAGTTATCTTTATATATGCGTTCCGACTCGTCGAGTCCCTCTCACAATAGTCGTAATCCGATAACTATCTTGACTTCCGAATGCTTATCTTTCTGAATCCGCGACCGGACTCGTCGAGTCAAGGGGCAACTCGACGAGTAGAAGCCTTTTATGGGTGTTTTCTTTCTTCTTTCCACTCTTGAGCTCCTAACCGCTTCTCATGCTTCCTTTCGCTTCCGAGCTTCATCTTTGGACTGAAAAACATAATTCAACACTTTTAAGTACCTTTTGTCCATAATATGCAACAATTTAGCTAATATATGAATAAATACTACACTTAATACACACTAAATATGCACATATCACACCTATACATCCATCATTTACTTGCTTAAGCTCGATCGACCAACCATGCTCACCAAAAACAAATAGTAACGGGAACTGCAACGCCATATACAAAGGATGCAACTTATTTATTCTTCGAGGCCGCCCATCTCTCATGCGGATTAGTATGTCAAAATCATTTTTACATGTAGGCCCGCTGTCATAAACAATTCCGCCTAGCACACCCAGAGTAGGAGCATTATAGTGCATTTGGTTTCCACTATTATATAACCTGACCATGAACTCTTGAGGTTGTTCGTGAAAACATATATCTCTAGTTGTTCTGAATAGCTTGACTAAATCATTGATTTTGTCTAAAATGTCAATCAAAGTCTTGACAATTTCTGGTTTAAGATCGCCAAATTCAGAGCCACTAAAATGATGAAGTCTGTTGCAAACTTCATTATTAGTATCATAGATATACATTTTCAAGAACCTTGGATTACCATCAGTTGGTGGACACAAAGATCCCATCCAATGAGAAATCTGCCCTTCTACCTTGAATACATAAGGCCCTGACCAATTATTAACTGAATCATCCACTTTTGCCCCGAATGAAGTCATGGCGAACATCATGTTATAAGCACGGATGTTTTCCATAAAGTGCTTATCTTTAAAGAGTTCTTTAATTATCTTTGGAGGCTGCCTTGGTAGCGGCAACATTACCCGACCGCCTTTGCAACAACGACTATATTTAGGTCTTTGATTTTCGGGAAGACCTTTCCGTCGTTTAGCATACCAGAAGCATGCATAGCAATGCTCACAGATTTGGTCACAATCACCCAAATCCAAATATGCAGTAGATGGACCTGGAAAACATGACAAACAACATAGTTAATAACATCTGAGTCATGCTTAAGCAGGTGGCGAACATATCATGCATACACATGAGAAACCCCATCAAGAAGAATGGCAGACGGATTTTTTTAGACATACCATTGATTCTGTTACTGTGACTATCACCTGAATTAAAAGATTGAGAATTATGAGGTTGTTGTGCATGAGGTGTTGAAATATGAGAGTCCTTGAATACCGAAAGTTTTGTACACATAAGCCTTTTTGACACACGATTTTTTGTAGATTTAGAACTCGATGGGCTATCAGAAAAAGCATGTGGGCTAGATTGTGGAGAAGAAACATAATTTTCAAGTGGATGTTCATCATTATGATTAAGCTTTTTCTTTTTTCGTTGCATATTGTTGTGAAACGAATCGGTGAAAGAAATAAGTTGGCTTTTAATATAATGGAAAATCATAACAATATAAGATAAAGGCATCAAGATATAGCAAAAACAAATCAGTTAGTAAAGAAAAAAGGCCAATCAAAATAAGCGATGAAAACAACACATTATACATAGCACGGATTAGAGGGTACCTTTTTGAAATCCAAAGGTAGGAAATAGAACTAAAGCAACCGATAACAATATAAGGAACCTGAAACAATCATTTAATGGCTAAGAATGTAGACATGGGCAATAAATCATTTACATGTAACATAATAAAAATCAAATTTAACAATTGTTCAAACTTTGATGCTAATATTTCTTTTTGTTTACCAAAGGAAAAATGCATTATGGCAGAAAGCAAAGAAACAAAACTGGTATTTTTGTTTATTAAAGGAAAATTTGATTATATAAGTACACTTTCAATATGTTATTCAGGGAGAAAGAGAAATTAAGGCATTTAATTAATAATTGGGAACTGAGATTAATGAATCTGTGAAGAATAAACTAAAATGAGGAATTTTTACCTCTGTCTTGCTGTCTTGGGAGCTCCATTCAGATCAATATCATGCTTGCTTCTCTTATGACCCCTGAAGTCGAAAGTTGATTGCAAGAATGGAACTGTGAAGATGAACAGATTGTGGTGATTGAAGGCCACAATAGTTTTTTTTACTAAATTTGTTTATTGCTGGTCTACTTTTACTTAAGCCCTAATTTATAGAATCAACATAATACCATGGGAACTTTAGCCCTAATTTCTGCTCATGGTTTTCTATCATACGAACATAAAATTCTGATACAGACTCAATAGAATAGCATGGAAACTTTAGCCCTAATTTATTCCCATGTTTTTTTTCTGTCATATGAGCACAGAATTTTGACATGGGAACATAGAAGGAAAGGAAAATGACCCAAAAAATCTTTGAAGATGCTCAAAAGATGTCAAAGAAGAAAATACCTTATGATGGGTGAGGTGTGGCTGACAGCTATGAGGTCATAGAAATAGAGAGAGGAGATAGAGCAACCAATGCAGAGAACAGTTCCAGCAAGTGGCGCGCATGTGGAGGTAGATGTGATGATGGTGGTAATTGGCCTGAGATGTAGAAATTCAGAGAAGAGATTGAGCTATTCGTGCAGAGAATGGATCGAGCAAGTGGTGTGCAGGTAGAGGCAGGAGTTGCGGTATGACAATTGTGGTAATTGGTTTGAGACCGTGAACTGTATGAAGCAGCGTTTGACTCTTTGAAGCACAGTGTAATAACACTGTAGGTTGATGTGCTCTTACCTACAGTATAATAACATTTGGAAAATGTTAATGTTTACAATGAGGTTGTATTTTAAGTTCTAAACAAAGTTTTCCGTTTTAAACATACAAGTATATGTGTTGTTTGTTAATATTCTGAAGATCTTTTTAGCTTTTTTTGTCTACGCTGCGCAGACCATGTACAGACATTAGGCTTCACAGACTGTTTGTTTTTGTTAATGTACCTATTTGTTTATTTATCTATTTTAGTGTAGGTTACGTATTCATGTATAGTATATGGGTCCTTTGTGTATTTTATATATTATATCTTGTATAAATACTGATGAGTATACAATGCAATCCCTAAGGGGATTATTTCCACAAACATGGTATTAGGCTCTTACGATGTACGGTGCATGAAAGCCTAGCAATCACGTTTTTTTTTTTGTTTTTTGTTTTTTTGTTTTTTTTTTATGTGGATGATATCATTCTCACGGCTTCTAGCCCATCCCTCATCACGCAAGTCATTACTTGACTCTCGTCTGATTTTGCTATGACGGACTTAGGTTCTTTGTCCCTTTTTCTCGACATTACAACTACTCGTTCTGCAGATAGTGTGTTCTTGTCTCAGACTGCCTTTGACAATGAGATTTTATCTCGAGTTGATATGACCTCCTGCAACTCGTGTAGTACTCCTACAGACTCCAAACCAAAACTATCTTCCGTGGGAAATCTGGTTTCTGGTTTCTGATCCGACCCTATATAGAAGTCTAGCCAGGGCACTTAAGTATCTGACGTTTACTTAACCAGATATTGCCTATGCATTTCAACAAATCTGTTTGTACATGCATGATCCATGTGAACCCCACTTCATAGCTCTTAAGCGTATCTTGTGTTATCTTCAGGGTACTCTTCATCATGGTCTGTTCATTCGTCCATCTCATGTCGATCATTTGGTTTTTTAATCTGATGTTGATTGGGCTGGCTGTCCCTCAACACATCGGTCCACCTCTGGGTTTTGCATTTATCTCGGTTATAATCTTATTTCTTGGTCTTCCAAATGTCAACATGTCGTCTCTCGGTCTAATGCCAAAGCTGAGTATCGGGGGGTAGCTAATGTTGTTGATGAAACCGCTTGGCTCCGAAATATCCTTCTTGAACTTTCGTGCCTCTAACTCGATCTATGGTTATGTTTTGTGACAATGTGAGTGTCATGTACTTAGCTTTTAACCCAGTTCAGCACCAAAGAACCAAACATGTGGAAATGTACTTACATTTTTTTAAGGAACGCGTTGCCATTGGTTAGGTTCACGTGTTGCATGTTCCTTTGGCGTCTTATCAGTTTGCAGATATCTTCACCAAAGGACTACATACACCTTTATTTTTGGATTTTCGTGACAGTTAAAACATTCGGGAACCCCCTGCTCAAATTGAGGGGGAGTGTTAATGTATCTATTTATTTATTTATCTATCTATTTTAGTGTAGGTTTCATATTCATGTATAGTATATGGGTCCTTTGTGTATCTTATATATATTGTATCTTGTATAAGTGCCGATGAGAATACAGTGCAAACCCTAAGGGGGATTATTTCCACAAACAGTTTTTTTGAAGACCGCAGACCTTAAAAAGCGGTCTCTTATTGACTAGAATCTTCAAACCTCTTCAGACATCTTCTAGCCTTAAAAAACACATATATCTATGTATTTTTTTAACTTAGATTTATTCCAACTCTAACTTTGATAAACAATTTGGAAAAAAAAGTTATAAT